ATCAAACAATCAATGACAAAATCATCATTCATTTTATTGTGTGAAATCTAATTGAAATCATCACATTGGATTTAGAAATTTATTTCTTTGAACAATGGAATACATTGTTTGTATTAAGAGTCTTGAGACCATTTTATCATTTACATCCTAATCATATCTTAGTAATTTACGGACTACTACTGGTAAAAAAAAAGTGGGTCCAATCTATTTAATAAAAAGGGGGCATTATCTTGACTTAGTATATAAAATTGGACATAGCATTTCACATATGTGAATATAAAATATTTGTTTTATTGGGATTAGGAAGGTCAATGGACTTCTGATTTACTAAAATGAAAAGGAACTAGGATATTTATTATTTTCAAAAATAAAGGGGCTCATGAGCAAAATTGAAAAGAATGATGCTTATTGCTCTATGGGTAGATCCGCCCCTGAGTTTTAAAAGCTATACTGTTCAGAAACTATTGTTGACAACCATGAGTCAAGGCAAAGGCATAAACAAGCACCAAAATGCTGCATGCTAGTACTAGTTAAAAGGGGATTTAACAGCATTCTAGAAAGTTACAACCACCTGTTTTGTTACTAAAACTTAGAAAGAACAGCTCACATCCAACGGGATCGAAAGAGAGACAGAAAATATAAGAACAAGAACACAAAGCAAAGAACTACCTCTTAAGTTTGAGGTGCATGCATCATCTACATGATTTGCCTCACATTCTGAATGGCCAGCAATCACTACTTCTGAGTTTCCCGTACTCTTGACACAGCTCTCTACTTGAGGTTTTGCAACCACATCTGCTACAGCACCAAATACTAACAGTTACTACAATTTGAAAATGTTTCTCAAATACAAGGGAAAATGCAAAATTGATCAAGAATTGCAACATAATTTTTATGATCCTGAGTCTTTTATGTTAGATCAAACGTAATAGTAGTGAAACCAAAATCAAGAGGCAGAGATAAAATTCTATCTGAAGGGGAATCACTGTTTGCTTTTTCCCTTAAGCAGAAACAAAATATAGAGCTAAATATAAGAGCAAGTTCCCGAATTTAGGCCTCATATCTTACGCATGAACATAGATCTTGGCATTTATATGTGGAAATGAAATACTCTTGGCCAAGTAGTTCTTTTTTTTTTATTGGGGGGGTTGTGGTGGTGGTAGGGGGACTCAAAAGTGTATAAGGATTCAACCTTCAGACCTCATCTTGTGCTTCTAAAGAAAATATGACCTTTATAAGTTACAGAATTATAGTAGAATTAAATCCTGCATCTCATATACCCACATATGTGGCATCTTGTAACATGTTAAAGCATGTTTCTGAGTGGAGAAAAATAGAACATCTGTAAATGTGTCACAAGAAATCCATACATTGTCATGTTCTCATAGTTTTTTACTAATCAAAATAACATTGAATCTTTCACAAAAAACATCTTGCATATCCTCTTATAAGTCGAACACAGACCCAATTACCCCAGGGTCAAACAACTTCATACGATTGCACAGCAACCAAACAGCAGTTCTCAACATTTCCCCAGAGTTTGTGCCATTATCACAAGGATTGCAGTTGAAGGTACACAAGCAGACAATTAGATAAGACATCCAACTTTAAAGGTCCTCTAGAACTATATGAATATTAGTCATTCAAAAATCACAAGACACACAAAAAAATGCTTTTCCTAGCCTTCCTTACATACCATCATGGAGAAAACATAAAAAGATGACACCTGTTAAACATGCTTCATAAATAAGAAACAACCAACCTCGTCTTCAAAAAAAACCTCCAAATTCAATCAGAACATAAAGACCCATCATTTATAAACTAAAATCCAATTACCAGAGCATAAAACTACAACTAATTATCAATTCCTGTCAGGGAAATTAAATCCGCAATCGATAGTTGCCTTTCTTTTCCTCCCCAACTCCCACATCCATATCAACCAATTTCTCAGACTCAGCATACACTTATCCTTCTTCCCTTTTTGATTCACTGTCTCCCCTTTCTCCAGTCCCATGGAATTCCCGAATTTGCATATGCATTCAAATCTGAACTATGTGACTCCACCCTAAAATTCAGACCCAGATCCTCCATCACAACCTCACATCTCTATTGTCCAAAAGCCTATTACCCTAACCCACCAGGATTCCTAAACTCCTTCCCACCAAAACAGTTTTATTCACTCTTCCTAACAAACCAATATAGAAAGAACACATATATAGCACACAGATAAACATGCATTACAAAGACAAAATAATCAACCTCATTGCAACAAAAAGCTAAAAAGGTTAAATTTCCTTAAAGTACAAACGCCAATCATTAATTAAACACAGCTAAGAACAAATCCACTTCAGAAAAACTCTACCCACATTATATATTTACCTTTCTTCTCTTCCTCAAATGCCACACTCTTATCCTCCCCTTTGGCAATCTCTTCTCCTTTCTCCAACCCTACCAAATTCTCAGAATCATTGGCATTCACATACTCTTCCTTTACAATTTCAACTCTCTGTTGTTCTTGCTTTTTATACCCACCTGCGCCACCCCTCCTAAACTCCTTCCCCTGCACCTTCGCCGGCTCAAAATACCTCTGCTGCCTCCTCCAACTAACCTGTTGCAGCGCATACAACACCTCCGCCACCGAAAAGTACTGCTGCATATGTAACACCGCGCTCCAATTACACCTCCTCTGCTGTATACACCCTACAACTCCATCGTACTCACCCGGCTCACCGATTAGTCTCAAATGGTTGCATAAAGCGTCAATTATCGCATTCGCCGCCGCAAATTCCCCGCGCAACCACGATATAATCCCATCTCTCTCATCTATAAACCACTGCCTCTGGTGGTTCACCATTTCTCCAACACCATCACCACCGCCGCCCAGCATTTTATCGGAAACAACCCCATTTCCTGATGGCATTGCCATACACCTCTATTTATTTATATATATAGGTAGGCTATATGTATAACTGTAGGACCTATATATTAGCTCATTCCCTGATATGGGTATGTAGATCGGACTGTAAATGACACTGAATTATGCAAGTGGGAATAGTAAAGTGGGTAGATCAGCGGAATTATGCGTGGAAAATGTGAGAAATTGATGAATTTGATGAATAATTTGCAATGTATGTTGAAAATAGAGAGAAATGAGAGCTGCAAGTTCAAGTTCAGATCTGAAGGAGGTGTGAGAGCGACGTAAAGATGTGGAATTCAAAAATGGTTCGATGATTTTTGTGGGTGCAATGTGTGAAGAACAAAACGGCTTATTGAGCACGCATATATAGTCTTAAAATCGTGGGGGCTCTCTCTCTCTCAGTCTGGTTTTCTATCCTCTGTAGACCTCTACTGTGGAGAGGATGGAAATGGAAGTCCAAATTTGAGCAGTGTGGACGGACAAGGGAAGAATATTCTGGGAGATAGGGTCTTTTGCTTGTTATGCGAAGAAATTTTACACTCACCACCATAATTCTACTTTTCTTTCTCTTATGGCAAATTACACTCAGTGCCATCAAGGTTTATCAACGATACACACTCTTTATGAATTCCAAAAATTATGCAGCGTTTGAATTTATTTTATTTTTTTTTATAATTTTTTTTAAAAAATTAATTTTATTATTTTTCTCTTACAAAATGTACTCCTATTCCTATACATGTTTGTATATTAATATATATATGATTAAGTTTAAAATTTTAAGATAAATCTGGATTTAAAAAAAATATAAAACAAATTCTACTTCAAAAATGCTTCAAAATAAAATTAAGAAAAAACCCCTTTAAAGTTGGGATAATTACATCTAGACTCTCTGAGGTTTGTCATTTAAGTACTTAGACCCCTGATATTTGAAATATTACACATAGAATCCCTGAAGTTTATATGCGCGTAACACATAGCCCTAAATATCCATTAGTATATCCGTTAATAAATTAAATTCATACCCTTGAAATTTGAAACGGGTAATACTTAAACTTATCAAATTTAAAATGTTACACTTTTATAAAAAATACTTTAATTAAATATGGAATATCAAATATTTTAAATTTTACAACTAATGTACATATTCTATTATGTCATTTATTAAGATAAAATCAAAAATAAAAATTTATTTTTCAAAAAAAAATTATAATTAGTACTGTTGATGCCGAAATTTGGATAACATTCACGTCAGTTTGTTAGACTTTGATCACTTAAAAAAAATTGGAGACCGGAGTGGAGCTGTGTTTAAAAGTTTTTGATGAATAAGTTAGTAAGTGACTCAAAGGTATGAACTGTGTTTAAAAGTTAAAAATGGCATACTTGAAGCATCTTGGACTAAATGGACTTTTCACCTTGGGTCAATTTTTTCATCATCAAGTACAAAAATATGAAATAATCAACACATTTACATATTTCATTATATCATCCATTGACATAAAACCCAAATAAAATTTCAAATTTTTTAGAATAAAATAATAATCAGTATAAATATATCAAAGAAATCAATTCAACACTCATTTTCATACAATTATATTATCTAGTGAAATAAAACTAAAAAAATCAATCAAGGGTCAAACTGTAATAAACACATTATATTCTATTTTTAATTGGGGTAATTTAGTTGTTTAATAAGTTTCATTAGTTTTGTAATTGATAAAGGGTCTAAGTGTAATATTTTAAATTTGAGAGGTTTAAGTGTTACAAATTTATGAATTTTAGGAAATTTAGGTGTGATTTACTAATAGATGTGTTATACACGTATAAACCTTAAGGGGTCTATATCTAATATTTCAAATATCAAGATATTTAAATGATTAAATAACAAGTATTAAGGGGTTTGAGTGTAATTATTTCTAAAAAGTTTTATAACACTTTAAGGTTGTTTGTTTTAAAAGATAAAGGCAGACAATACGGGGGATTATGGGCCCACATATCCCTCGTTTGGGTCTATTAAAATGGTTGAGATAATTGTTGGGTGTGAATTTATCGACCATATGAATTGAAGGCAAAGATCTCATATAAATTGGATATATGAAACCCATGGGGTAGGTGGATTGAAATTTTGTCAACATGATACACCTGTAATTTTACAAAACACCCTTGCGTAGTTAATTTCTAGGGTTTTTACTCCTTTCACTCTCGTTTTCCCCCTTCTCATCCATAGAGAATAAGGCAACAATTTTTCTTCTAGGTATGGTTCTCTCTCTCTCTCTTGTCATCTATTCGTCTCAACTGAAACCCTCTTCAATTCATCTCTTTTACAAGCACGAAAACATATTATCATAACAAACCCACTATTGCAGCATTGACACTCAACCTATCGGAGATACCTCCACCTATCATTGCAGATCCTTGGCCACTGATGGGACATTTCTAGAAAGAGACAGATCGGGGGGACACGTGTCCTCGGCATCGTTATATTTTCAGCCAGGAATGGTCACGTGTCCTCGACGACACTCATCCCCATCAGCCGAGGTGATAGTGCTCGGAGCCGAGGGATCCCTAATCAAAGTGGTCAACACACGTGTCCTCAGCTCGACAAGAACCCTTGACTCCAAGATAGACAAATATTCCTCGGTGTCGAAGTATTCCTTTTGTACGCTGGATCCCACCTCTCATCTGCTTTTGCAAAAGTTAATAATTGACAGATGGCTAGCCTAGGCCAAGCTAGGCTAATCATCATGAAGACGTTCTGCTCGATGGTGTCAAGGGGCATAAGAATGCAAACACATGCAACCAAGGAGGGTAGGAGGCGTGGAATTTGATATCAAATCAATAACAAAAAGACCTGGATACCCCTACTGACACACGACTAGAGCAAGTAAGCATTTAATGAATCCTCCTCCTGATGAGACAGCAATTAAGGCATGGGAGCCGAGAAGTAAAGTGCATTAAAGACCACCATGCCTGGGCATTTAATGCATCCTGGCCGAGAAGGAGGAATTGAATGATCGGTAGACCGAGGAGTGAGCTTTAAATGCTCGGCATCCCGATCAGTTAAAGCAAAGCCCATTCCCCATAAAAGTGAGAGGCACACTGCCCCATCTCTGATAAATATCTGTTGAATTGACTGTTAGCAATCATGAACTTTTGAAAGTATAAATAGTTCTCAAAAACCATTGAAAAGGTACACAAGAAGTTCTGAAAAATAACTACAGTGCTTTCTGATTCCCCTATCTTAAATAACTGACTTGATCGTCGGAGGGGATATGCCGAGGAGCACTTTGACACCCTTCTAACCTGTTTTTTTGTGTGATAAGATCCCCCTATAGTCTTCCAGGACCGGTTAGCGTGACCCAACAAACAATTCATCACCAGTCCTTAGGGCCCCTTTGTCCTTCTCAACCTACTTCTTGTTGCCAAAAACCACTTTTGGATGGATCAAATCTCTACCAGGGGTGATCAAAAATCCTGAAAGCAAAACCCTCCGTTCCATCAGAATTATTATCTTCTCAAATCACAGTTCATCGTGGGAGAGATCTGTTCCTACTTCTATTGTTGTGCAAAAATCAGCACGCACAGCCACTAATGCTTCATATCTTCATTCCAACCCAAATGGTGGAGTAGCTTTTGATAACGATTGGCGATACTAGTTCTGTCAGAAGCTCATGACCAATGACTCTCCCTCTGTCTCTCCTTCCCCATTTGTTCGTCATGTTCTTTTCGTCTCTGTTATCTCTCTCCCCCACCGAAGATATCTCTCACACAGGGATTCAAACACACACAACGATTCAGAGTCACAAGCACACAAACAGATTCTCACTCTCTCGCATATACAGGTGTTTGATAGTGGGAAAAAATTATGAGTCATCTGTGTTGGGTAGTGTGTTGTTAATTTGTTAGGTTTTGAGGCTCTGAATTTTGGTAAAGTCACGATAAATTGTACTAGAATTGATTGTTTAATATACAAGTGATATACCAATTGATTCTCATGTTTATTAAAATTTGGCTATTGCATTGCTTTGTCAATATCTTTTGTTAATTAATTTCAGTACAAAATTTTGGGTGAATCAAATATATTTGTGGTCGACTATTTTAAAATTGTTTACAGTGGCACACAAAAAACTTATTTATTTTTTTTATAATAACTACCTAGTTATAAATTTTTAATTCAATATTAAAGTGGTAATCAAGCATTGCCAAGCCAAATATGAGATATATTTGAATAGGATTTAAGGGTAAGATGCTAAATTAATGTTAAAGTTATGAGATTTAACCCCAAAAAAAAAAAAAAAATTGGTTTATCCATGGGCCTCACAATATCATAAATTATTATCCAAATCAAGGATTGGATAAAATTAAATTTTCTAATCCTATATTATAGCCGGCTTACAGGGGATTTCATTGGATATGTTTGAGATTTAAATCCAAATCAATCCAATCCGCCAGCAGGTTGCCAAGCACTCCATAGCTTTATTAATCGCCCGATTAGAGCGATTAGAAACGATTGTTCAAAATCTTCTTACTCAACTATAGATAACTATCCGATCAAAAAAAACTATAGATAACTAATATTTGACTTTTTATGAATTATTTTTGTTTGTTTTTATTGGTTGGTTGCAATGACATATTTATACTATTTTATGTTTCTTTTTGCTCAAAAAAGTTTCGTAAAAAGTGTGACATTTTTTTCAAGTTTCCTGTAATTTTTTGGATTTATGTTGAGCTTAGGTACTCTCTCTAATTCTTGGTAACATCATTGTCTATTAATCAAAACGGAAAAATCAATGAGTCAGAAATTTAGATGGAGAAGAACAAATGTAAGGGATAGAGTTTTACGTAAAATTTAAACTTTGAGTTTTTAAGATTACTTAAACTAGAAAGGTTTTGCTAGAGTTTTTTCTTCTCTTTTTACTCATAATTTACTCCAAGTAGTAATATAGCTAAAACAAATTTAGAAATAGTAAGGAAGATGATAGATGGAATTGTGAGTGATATATAGTGGATCATCAAGTTTTTGAGGTGAAAGTGAAATAAAAGGGTAAAAAAATACTTTTGAGGGGCAAAAATGGAATAAAGAACATTATAGAGTGCTTTTAAATTGAGGTAATTTTTGAATTTATATAGGAATATTGTAGTCACACTGAAACAAAAAAAAAGTGAATATATATATATATATATATATATATAAAATAAAATAGGAGTGTATTTGAATTTTGTCTCAGTCATATTTTCTCCCTTAAAACCATCACCAATCACTTATCTCATTTATCATCCTTTGATCAGACTTAAACGTCAAATCACATCACTTATTACTATCATATGTTTAATCATTTATATATTTATTCCTTAAAAATATCACATAACTATATTTAATCATTTAATATTTAATTAATTTGTAGTTAATATATTTTTAAAAAAATTAATATAATGAGATGAATTTTTTAGACGCTCGAA